GACAAGTGGTATTTGATGCTGAATGGTTTCAGCCATACTATCCAACTTCATCACAGTAAATTCATGTCAAGAATTTCTTTTTGAAGTAAATATTATGAAATATGATTGAACCATTCAATTCAGACAATGCAAAACAATTAAGATTGTGGAATACACTTTATTTCATGGTGCGACATTCATGAACACAAATGATCTAGAAAAAGGAACTTGTTGTCATAATTCTGAAGCAGAAATTCGTTTTCTCATCATATCCATTAGATATAGCACATAGTGGAACAGTATTACTGACTGGATTACGCTTCGGATAAAATATATTCATATCAAGATATATAGTTTATATAGTTACAAGTTTCTTGCCGTCTTTGTGACAAAAGTAGTAGGATTTCCCATATATCCGGAACATATGTTGAGTCATCTTGTCGCATGTTTTTGGTGTCGATTCAATATACAAAGATTTCGTTATCAATCTCTTCCTCCGCCCAACTAAGTTAGTTTTAAGGATTGTTACTCTGTTCCATCTGATCATGCGGTTGTGAGTAACTGCATATATAGCTATGGCTGAGCTTTTTTCTACATTTATTATCCTATCGGGATCTATCATTTTTGATCTAGCTAGGTTATTTTGCTCGGATAGTCTAATTGACCCTCTTCGACCTATGTATCTGACCTCACAATTATTGTAAAGGTCTTGGCAAACTAATTTATTCTGCCTAATTGGATCTATAGGATCTTTTAACCTGCAAAGCTTATTTATAAGTCAGTTCGCAAGTTTAAGTGGTACTTTAGTCGCAGGCTTATTTACAAGTCTACGTTAAGTCTGAGGTCCCCTCCTTATATGATAATACTGTAGAGGTTTTGCGTTTTCACAATATTTCCACTATTACTATTAACATTATTATTACTACTATTAACCCGTGTGTTGCCACTATCAATAACATTTTTTTAAGATTCCTAAGGAACTGATCAATTAATTTAGCAGAATAATTGTTCGTGAGTAAGGTATTTCTAATGTACCTAATGACTTAGATCTTCTGTTTTACCAGTAAGTTTTTTGACCCAGTTACTTAATAAGCCAGCTTTAAGTAACATACGGTGAGATGACTTGAAGCTTAATTAGCGATTCATGGGTGAAGGTTTTCTGTAGACAATAATGTCTGACCCTTAGTCTTGTTTTCATTTGATTTTGCTACCCAGCATAGTGAATTCCCCTTCACCACTTTTTAATTTGTAGATTAATTCGACTGCGTTCACTACTGTAGTTATATGTGTAAAGAAAATATGTATGTTCTGCGATGTCAACACTGTAAACCTGTCATCTACATATGGATGCCATACTTTTGGGGCGAAACTAAACGTTTCGTTGGCTACTCATTACCAAGTATCCATAAATATGTGCTCTATGGTAGGGGATATAAGTGATCCCTCTGTTTGTTTGTATACTTTATTCCGTAAGTTACTCATACTAGAGGGTAGGGACAGCTTCACTGCTAACATTATCTCCTCCAATAGTACCTTAGTTTGTAGTGTAAGGTTATGGTCATTATTGAGTTCATTTGTAACTGCTTCCGAAGCTATATCAACTGATACATCAGTATGGAGGCTAGGTACATCAAAACTAACCACTGTCGCCTAAGCGTATACTATCTAACCTGTACCCCAAGCCATAATAATTAATCTTTTTATTTAGAACTCCTTCTAGTCGAACCTAGTATTTCCGCTAAATATTTGGATGACTTACAAGTAGGAGTGTCTCTAAAGTATGCTATTGGTCTAGTAGGATAGCGTGGCTCATGCATTTTAATAGTGCCATAAATCCTACTGGAATTATTAATTTTCGGCATTAAACCATTTCGACTCATCTACAAACGACTTCATTCGATGTATTAGATCCACTGTGGTTTGATCTTATTCCCAATAGTGTCCACTGGTTTCTTAATTTCTTCATATGATCCTGTTCATATGTTCGTTGACTATCTGAATGTAATCAGATTTATTTGATACAACTGTTGAGTTGTCGTTTTTTGACTTAGTAATTACTATATTGTTGTCATTCCGAAGGTTGTCCAACTTCCCTTTCTAGTGAACTTGATGCTATTTCAATTTTCTTAATAATATCTTCAGGTTTGAATTCATTAACTGGAACATTTAAGTTAACTCCCTTCTTCAAGATATTATTTTCTGTTGAACTGATTTCACAATGAGTTTTGTAGATTAAAATATCCTATTTTAGTTGATTTGTTAGGTGTATTTCACAATGGAATAATATTATTTACTGGATTACTTTTGGGACACAGTTTATTGTCAACAAATCGGACAATAATGAGCTCATTAAAATTAAAACTGGTGAATTCAAAGTCAGTGACTGAACTGAAAAACATGGCACCGATCAAACGTATAACTCAAATGGATAGTGTTAAAGAGTTCTTTACATGAACTAAACAATAATTGATTTTTGTCTGTTTTTCAGTGATACATTATCAATCTTACTAATATCAAGTTATGATTTGACTAATTTCCACAAGTTGTTTTTGGTCCGCATAAATGTTGATGAGAACATTGTCCACATTATACATGGGTGAATAACATTCTTCCTAGTTTATTATGCATAGAGCTGTGGCTCATTGGTTTAGGCGGTCGAGTTTCAACTAGTGGCCTACAGGTTGGAACACGGCCTAGCAACCAAAGTGTGGTAAGTCAGGTAGTATCATTAACATTAACACAATAGATGTGGTCCATTCTCTACATCATGGATGTGTAGCTGGTTGCTGGGTGCATTTCAATATTGTCATGAAATAAGAAGGTATATCTGACCAGTTAGCAAGTACTTATATGCATTCAGCTTCCGATCTAAGCGATTAACCTGGTCTCATATTGCAATAGTGTTCTCAGAAAATTGATTAGACAGTTGCTTTCTGCCTCTGGATTTTTCTTTCAAGTACACCTAAGGTTATCCTGTTACTATTTTCATCGGCAACTATAGTATCTATAACCAGAAATCATATAAGCGTATTGAATAAGAAACATCTTTCTTACTTTTCTATCGTTCATACTAAGAACATATGAAACCGGAATTTATGCAAAAGGAACGAATAAAAACGTTGGGATAGCGTGATAAGAAGAAAATTGATAGGACACATTGTACTTCGTTGTACGCTGTTCAGCTACTCATAGACCATTATTAGTTACTGAGTGAAGCGAATGAAGGTTAGCATACTTGAGAACTTAGCATCCATAATCCATTATACGGCAATCAGAAAGCTTGCAGTATAAGACTGACATAAAAGCATCCGGTGTTGGGAGACTATGTGTGAAGTCTGAACGATAACCGTCAAGTGATCAGAGCCAAAAAGTTGGTGACCAGATAATCACGAACAGGAAGTTGCATAGACATCAACAGGCTGTAATCATGGTTATACGATAAAAGAAAAGAAAGCGGTGAGGAAAAGACGATAAAAGTCTCAAAGTTCTCGAGTGAGACAGTTCTAGGCTAACTAGATAGGCTTTTAGAATACAAAAATTCATCTGTATTCTTTCAGTTGTGATAGCTTGAGCAAACCGAAACCGAACTCAGTGGAACATTCTCTGAGATGAAACTAATCTCAGGGCATAGAAACAAATCTAAAATGACGCAAAGAAGGTAGATAACTGCCCGTGTCATAGTACCTACAACTGGACTTAACAATTCAGTGGTAGTTGCCAAAGTAGGTAAACTGAATGGCTAAGCAAACAGATAGCTGTTGTTTTTCATCTACACATTACAATAAGCTTACGTCCTAAAGGGTCGAATAGCATCGGTAGCTCAGCGGCTCTTCATCTGTTTGACATGAAAAACGACACTGACACCAAAATCATTCTTAAGTAGTTAAACTCGACCTTCTTTCAGTTCGTAGGAGCTACCACGACTAAAAGGATATAGCCTAATCTTTGCATTCTCAAAGTCATCCTAGTTAGCCTACATACATCTCAGTTGGAACCCTGAGACTTTCATCACCTCTTCCCCATTGCCTTCTTTTCTTTTCTATCTTAGCCATAAATACAGCTCGTTGGTGTCTAGGCAATTTAATTTCCCTGCTATTTTATGTTGGGCTCGTAATCATCATTATCTGCTCCCCAGCTTTTGTGATTCTCACCATCCTTTTAATCCCTCTAGAATCATCATCTAAACTTCATGTATAAAATCCCAACGATGAACCGTTTTATTTTTACACTAAAAGCTTTCCTGCTACCCTGTAGTAGATTACGGATAATAAATTCTCAAGTATGTTAATCCTTATTCTTTATGATAGAAACTGAATATCAGTTTGACTATCTGAGATTTTCATGGTTAGGTAGACTTGTATAGATACTGGGTGATGATTGAAGGTGAAATGAGTATCTAGGCGGCTGCAGGTCTAAACTAGCGACCTCCGGGGTTTCCTGCTCGGTGTTCGACCAGCTGAGCTACGACATCCGGATACTGACCAATCTTTTTATTTCACTTCAATCATCAAAAGTTTTGTTTAAAGTCCTGACTAGGCAACCAGTGTGAGTATGGTCAAGAGGTAGTACCATATCACTAACTCACATGGCAAAATCAACTTTGTTGCTTACTGCAACTATATATATATATATATATATATATATATATATATATATGCGTTTCTAGGCGTAGATCCGCTGACTGACTTAACTATGGTATCACGTCTTCATAATTCAGTAACACAGGGATTATGTAAATGAGCTGATCTTCAATTTTTCCTTTTAATTAGTTTAAAAAGTGATTACTTCACAAAACGATTTTTTAATTAACGCTGAGAATAAACACCTTGGTACTTTACACGCTAAAAAACTTAAGTTATTCTATGTCAGAGAAGTCCATTATATATGAAATTGCTATCCTGTCATATGTTTTTCCCAAGTAATACTGATGTATTAGATTTCAACACAGAATGCTTAAATATTATAGATTTACTCATTTAAACTTTTTGCCAAACTTTTCTATGCTTTCCTACTTTTTACAGGAATTACATGAAGAATATCATTACCAACGGGATGATCCTGTTTATAACAAACAAATTTATCACATTTCTCTAAGTTGTCAACTTCAGTCTTCATCCCTACAACAATTTGTCACAATTTAGTTTAAATTAAATCTACCTGCCTAACATTATTTTAAAAGTAGTAAACAGAGTATTTTTATGATTTCCTTTTGTTCCTTTCAGATAATGGAATGAAAAAATTTGAAGTTAAAAATGCGAATTAAATTATGTAGTCTAATATTGTCTTGCTTATTCCTTTCTTAGCTAACATTTGACGTATATATTGACGATCGTCAGTTTTTTGTCTGAGCGTGAACATTGAATTTTTTTGTAAAATGCACTTAAGCCTTCTAATATCCCATTTTATTCAAACGGTTATTATCTTCTTGTCGAATGTGAAGAGAACTATTTGATATTTGAAGTAGAGTTTAACTATTAAGTGAAGTAACCCATCTGAATGGGATAGAATGTGAATACTAGATTTGAGAAAATATAGAGATATGGAATTATGTCAAGACGGATTTTCACTCTCTAAAGAAAAACAGTATTTTATACTTTACCAGTTCTACGAAATTAACCTATTCAGTCGAAATGATCAAGAGATTCGTTTTCCGAATAGATAATTCAAAGTTAGTAAAATAACGGTACCATGAACAAGTCACCAAGTCAATTCTTAACATCTGCGGATAACGTTCAAAGATGATTTTTTGAAAATGGCTTAATTCCATTAACATTTTCCGTCTATTTTAAGAGAAGTAAGAAGATATAATATTGAATTTTATTTCTGAAAATAGCTTACTTTCAAGGTATTCAACAATGTATTCCATATGAACATCAGAATGAAGATGTTCTGAGTATAAACAAAATGTTTCTACATTTTGCTAAAAAACTAAATCTATTTGAGTTCTTTCAAAGAAGACATCTGTCTGCCATATGAATAATACACTTTCTGGTATCCTAAAGGAAAAAGAAACCTACACAACCTCATATGTCTAACGTATTTTTGGAACTCATGAGATCACGCAGTCTAAAATATCATCTTAAAATGTACAATCCTAAGATTTCTGAAGAATTTACGCTCTACCATAAGTTATACTTCATTCACTAATACTTCATAGAAGAAATGGTATCTAGGTAGTCCATCTGATAGGATAATTTGCATAAAAATAACGCCTAGTTACCAAAGTGATACTGAACATGCTTCAGGAAAACTTTAGATTCTTGTATTCTTTAAGGATTTGCAAATACATTCATCACCTTAAAAAGTTGGTTTTACGTTCCGAAAACTGTTCACTATTCACTGGTTTTTGTGGGAGACATTCAAAATTAAAGCTTGGATTATGATTAATACAGAAAGTTAGGTGAGATGATACTAGAATTCTTTGTGTTTTTGATCTCAATGTTTGTTAATACATACCATAAACAGTAAACAAGTAAATTATTTACAAATTAGTAGACTATGTGACTGCCTTGCTGACAAAATCAACGTAGAACCTTGCACACAAATGCATCGGTTCACGTTACCACATTTCACAGTAGTACACAAAGGTCAATTGGATAGAAAAAGAGTGATATAAAAGTAGATAAAGTTGTGTGGGAGAATAAATAATCTGAAGATAAAAGTTAGTGCAAATATTCAAGCTTTAAATGTCAATGAGTAAATACGTCCGCAACATTGTCATCGATTGTTGGTGAGCTATGTCATCCAGAGTCCTCAATCGCTTACCCCTATTGTCTCGGGGATCTCAAGCAGGCAGTCTACATCTCACACAGCTCAAACCAATAGTCAAGAACTTCATCGACTGGTGCCAGGTCTTCATCTGGCCACTCTAAACCCTCTCCCCACGTAACCCAGATTCTTATAATACGGGACGTCATGGTAGGCGGTGGCTCGGTATGTCCAGTACATATCTAAGACTAAATGCGACTGTAATAAAAGCTTTTAGAAGCTTTCATATACATCAAAGGTGAAGTGACCAATGTTGGCATAATTGAAGGTTCTACTGGCGACAGAGATGGGAGAATAACTTAAAGATCATCGGTGTGCAAAGAAAAACTCAATAGTTAAGGTGTAAGTTCCACGATATTACAATACACTTCTGAAAAAAGGATAATTTTATGGTACTTCCAAAGAATACAAACAATTTTGAGGGTGTTGTGTTCTCTGAGCTGGATAGTTAAATCGTAAAGCTTAGATTATTTTGCTTACTTGGTTTTATCGAATCCTAAAGCCAACGCAATTTATCTCTGAGTGAGTTTGTAGGTTTGAATGCCACCCTGATTCCAGCTGTTTTGAGAATCCTACTTAAACTTTCTGATGGTCCATCCTTATATGGAAACACAATTGAGGGTTTGAACCTATTTCTACTCGTGTTGTCGCTATTATTCATATTTGTGTTACTGTTATCATTTTGGTTCTTATGTGTTCAAAGGAATTTCTTAATAAACGTTAGAGGATAATTGTCAACTATTAACGCTTCTTTTTTATATTTCAATTCTTTGTTTAAGTCCTTACAATGACTGGTGAGATTTGGAGTTCCATCATTTAGACATCTCACTAACTTGGCTGATATTGGATGAGATAATCTGAAGTCTAGATATCTGTTGAGTGCGTCGGTTGTCCGGAGATGGTAATATCCAAACCACCGTCTGTCCTTCCTTTTGTCATCAATCTGACATAGGTAATTCTCCTTTGTTCATTTTCTACCTCGTAAATTGATTGAATTGCGTCTACTACTCAGTTTATATGTGTGAGGAAACTTTTGATATGTTGCGATTTAAACAGTAAATGTATCATCTACATATCATCACTATATCTTAAGTGCAGGATTAAAAGTTCGTAAAACAATGTTTACCTAGCTATCCCCTATTGTGTTTTCATATAAGGATGGACCATCAGAAAGTTTAAGTAGGATTCTCAAAACAGCTGGAATCAGGGTGGCATTCAAACCTACAAACTCACTCAGAGATAAATTGCTTTGGCTTTAGGATTCGATAAAACCAAGTAAGCAAAATAATCTAATCCACCGAACTCCACACATTGACTTTGAGGTCAAGTAAATAGGCCAAAATAGCCAATCGTGATCAGTTAGGTTAGTGGAACATAGGAATTTACCTAAATATTAGAATGACAGACCCCAACAAAATTAATCATCTAGAAAAAAAAAGTGGGCCATTCCAGTGCATGCATTAACACAACTACACAGTAGCGTGGGATAAAACCACTGTACTTTAGTCCAATGTAATTAGGTGGAGATTGAGACAGATAGAACACTGAATCTTTGCCCATCGAATCAACACATACCCAACACATGTAATAGGAGTGAACCGATACATATACCAGTGATATGGGAAGGTTTACTACCACTGAAAACAAAGAATATCAGGTGACGGGATTATAAAATTGAGATGTTGAAAGTAGTATGATTACATTGATATGATTATGAGGAATAAGTAATTTATGCTGGAAACATCATCGAGTAAATAATACTGTGTAACTGTGTGATATTTATCAAATAAACATATCTAATACATAAGTAATTTTGACTGTTACACGTGGTCGGCGCAGGGACAGCGACCAACCACTAATTAATTGTACTTAATGAATATCCATTAGTTTTATGCCAAGGTAGAAGACAATTCTATAACCAACTAGGAATATTTTATATTTTGAATCGTGCCAGTATGCCTTAGTTAACTGGCTAGGTATTAGTGAACAAGCAACGCAATGTAACAAGAGAATGGGACGAATTGTACTGATGCTTGCCCGGATACCTTCAGTTAACCATAAATGATGACCACAAAGGCTGAATATCGTCAAACCTAAGGCCAATTTTGGAGAGATTTCCAATGCTTTTGAACACTGCCTCCTGGTACTTTCGCGCGGATCCCTATAATGATACCATCCTGAAACAAAATAACGGTTTAGCCCCTTATAAAATTCTCTTGATGGGCTCATTGATTAAAGTAGCGCCTGGTTGTTTGTAACCAAGCTAGGGTATCACCACAATTAATCATTCAATTAACAGAATAGAGGTTTGACCCCAATCTTCGTATTTTACTGACTTCCAGTTTCGTGGTAGTTGCACTTGAAATAGAAAACGGAGTCTTGACACCTAGGAGCAAAATTTCCAAGAAAACGCAACAGTAAGTGCACAGTGAGAAAAAATAAACAAGAGATAAATCTAATGTGATTAAGTGGCACAACCTCAACGTTAAAAAGACACCATATAGGTAAAAATGGAAGTAGATTTTGACATTCATTAGTATAAACGATGCTACGACAATGAAGTGGACAAAAAGTGTCACATCGTTAAGTACGACTGTTTGTTGGGTAAGTCTTCAAATGTTATAGAAACCTGACGGTTCGAAGGTATTTTTTTGGTGTAGATGATGCTGGTGTGCATAAGTCACAGGATGTCTCATCAGTGTGTCTGAATATTATAGCGTCTTCTACCTATTTGTTCTTCAGAGCGTGAGCGATGTCGCTTAGTAGATTTCAATGGTCCTTACTGACTCTGTCGTCACGTCTATATCCATAGATAAACTAAACTTTTTACGCCGCTCCATGACTCTGAATGGCATGTCACGTCGGAGTTCAAGCTGAATTATGAAGCTTCAAAAGTGGTGATATTTTCTGTAAAACGAAGTGAACGAAAACATCGGTTGTTTGTGGTCGAACAGGAGCAAGCCTAACTGAACGCGTCGTGATTTTAAATCTGATGATGTAGGACATTCTGTCGACATCAAATAACAAAATCTGAGTCCATAAGTGGTTTGATAAAGTTACGAAACATAAAAAAGATCAATAGAATTCTGTCAACACTCAGAACTAGAGAACATGAAATTGGTTACTTCCCAGTGACTGACTAGTGTGCTCGATTTACTCCTACAGGAAGTCAGCCGCGACCTGAATAGCTCATTGACAGTCTTTAATCACGGCACTGGGTGATTTAGATTTGAATCTCATAGGGGACACCATTTCCACCAAGTTTGTAGATAATTCCTGCTGACGAGTGCCACCAAGTACAAAGCCCAGATGAAGCATGGCTTCCTGTAGATCCCCTCTAACTATCGAACACCAAAGCAAATACGTTACGGACCACAATCCTATCCAGTGAACCAAAGTGTGTCCCAATCTTAATTTATTGGTCAATATTCAGTCCGTAATGCTTATGACAGCATGCAGGTGCCTGGTTTAAAACCAAGAAAGGTAAAAATAGACACTGAACATTTT